GGCTGTGGCAGGGTGGCTGTTTGCATGAGCCTCGTCAGTTCTTGTTGATACCTGGAGGTGAGCGTGACCGTGCCGTCCTCCAGTTGCTCTGTTTCACTCCTTACTGCAAGTAGGACTTCTGGCCACACTGACAGCAGAGGCGATAGCACGAACCCTGAGAGGGGCCCCGGCCGCTCCTCACCTCCGTCCTAACTCCCGGCAGATGCTGTGAGACAGGCCGTGCAGAAGCATCTCCTCCAGGCCTGGCTGCGCCTGGCTGACGGCAGCGTGCTGCAGCTGCTGCACTGGCTGGACGTGGAGCACTCCGCGGAGGTGGCCGTCTCCGTCCTCAGCGCCTTGTTTGCTGTGACTCCTCTCCGCGAGCTGGTGGCCGTCTGCAAGGGCGGCGGCGACGGCAGGTACAGGGGTCGCTTCCGGTTCGGGCTCGGACCCGCCCGTAGCTCCGGGTGGCATCAGCGCCCTGTCCCTTGCTTCCTTTCCACTGTCGTGCATCCCTTCTCCCCGTACCCCCAGAACTCGCCCGTGGTAGACGCCCCGTCCCGCCTGGTTCTCCGGGAGGGACCCGGCAGGTGCCCGCCCACCCGCCCGCCAGCTGGCCCCAGTCTTTCTGCTCTCTCTGCGTTTCTTTACTCCTCTTCGTGTGGATAAGTTAACGGCTTCTTGGTTAGGCAGATGGGGATTATAAATCAAGTCTTTCCCACTTTCGTGCTCGGCTCTAGTTTTGATCGAATGTCAAGATGCTTTCTCTAATTCCTTTTTTTCGACGGAAGGAAATTGATTCCAGTGGAAATGTTAACTCCAGAAATTGCTTTGTACTGGCGTGTTCTTTGTGAATATCTGAAATCCAAAGGAGACGAAGGCGAAGCATTGTTAGAGGAGATTTTGCCAGAACCTGTGGTGTATGCGGAGTATTTACTGAGGTAAACTCCCTTCCCCCTTTTGATTTGGGCTGACTCCCCGCCCTGAGTCAGGTGTTATGGGGGATCCCGTAAGGCCCCTGCTTTGTTTCCTGTTGGTGTGCTGGAATCAGTAGGTGTGTGTTGGTCTCCGGAGAACGCCCTGTGCTAGTCGTCCTCGGAGAGAAGTCCGTGTATTTGGGGTCATTTCTTCAGGACCTGATTAGAAACATTTCTTCGTGAAGTCTGTATGAGGGTGTGTTATTTTCTGAAGTTGGCCGGCAAACCTTTAATTTTCGTTGCCAGGCAGGAGATGTCTAGACTTTGGGCCACACTGTCTCACGGGGTTCTGCTCCGACAAGGTGCCAGAGCAGCTGAGGACAGTGGCGGTGAGCGCATCTTCAGGC